CACCCAGTTTCCAGGGCTACCACCGCAGCCGACGCTCCCCGAACCACTAGGTCTCCACTGTTGCAGAGAGGCCCAATGCTCGATCTGCTGCTGCTGCTGCTGCTGCGTCACCGCCACACCCCTAGGACCAGCACCTCTTCCGCCCGTACCACCAGACTCATGACCTCCTCCAGCATCTTCTCCCCCAGACGTACCAGCACTTCCACTGCCTCCACCTCCTCCACCCCCTCCACCCCCTCCACCCCCTCCACGCCTCCGACCACCCTTGCAACGTCGCTGCTCACCAGAGGCAACAACTGTTGCAACCTCTGTCGGGGTAGCAGGCTCAGCAACAGCAGCCGACGCAGAGGCGGCGGCGAGGAAGGATGGGGCGCATCCCTCAAACATGGGGGGAAGCACTGTACTAGAGGAGGAGGCTATGGCGAGTAAGCGGGTCTCGATCTTAGTGAGACGCTTCTCAAAGAAATCGATAGTGAGGTTCATTGGGTGTTTTGCGAGGAAAGCGTCGCGAGCAGGTGCGAAGCGGTCAGGAAGGCGGGTCGCGAGGAGGTACAGGGTGATATACATGGGGGGCGGGTGCACAGCAAGAACCTCAGTAGTGCAAGCTGCACGGTAGCTAGCGTCAAGCGAGCGCAGGTGGGTAACGAGATCAGCAACGGTGGAGAACGCAGAGAGATCTGGAAAGAGGAAAGGCAGAAAGAGGCGGCCCAAAGAGGCAGAGGAGGGAGTGGAGTAGCGAGCGATAACAGCATCAAAGCACTCCTTTGCTGTCTCCACATGGCAAAAGTGTTTCCGCTCGTCCTGCGGGAGGTGGCGACCAATAGCAAGGCGCGCAGCGGCGTCGCGCGCCTCCCACTGCGCGCGCTCTAGTCGAGCCTCGCGGTACTCCTCCTTCTGCGCTGGCGTGGCGTCAGCAGCAAGACCAAAAGGACGCGGCGGGGCTGGGAGCTCACCCGAAGCGTGATCGTACAGGGAGATCTCCTGCTGAAGCTGGCTCCGCAGGTAGAGCTTGAGTTCCAGCAGCCACGAAGCGAAGTCAATCGCACGACCCTCCGCATCGAAACGCAAGACTGACTCAGTCGCCATAGCTGCAGGAAGCAGGGGCGCAGCTGCAGCAGGTGGGAGGAAACGACCACATGGGGAGGAGACCGACAGCTTTTCGGGCTCAGCACAGCAGGGCGCCGCAGGCTGGCACGGCAGGGCGAGCTGGCGCGGGCAGCGGGCGGCAGGTGTGAGCGGCACGCGGGCTGGCGCAAGCTGGAGCGCGGCCTGCTCGGGCTTGCGGGCTGGCTGGTGCAAGCTGGTGCTGCTGGCTGGTGCGAGCTGGTACTGCTGCTGTTTCTGCTGCTCTTGATGCTTTTGCTGCAAACACAACCAGCTAAGTGCGTTCTTCGAATCATTTACCAGCTGATCCTTCTCAGTTCCCTGGCACTTAGCCAAGTACTTCGCACGCTTAAAATACCCTTCGAGCAGCAGCGGCGCTCTCCCACTCCTCTCCATCGCCCTCCCTGCTATCATGAGCAACACGCACCCTGCTTCTACGTGGGAGGGAGGGGGGATGGACGGAGGATCGCCCAAAAGGTTCTGGAGGAGGGAGGGAAGCGAGGGGTGTATGGGAGAGAAGCAATAGGTGGAAGGGGGTTGAACGAGGGGGTTAAAATTCCAGCAGTAGCGGCACTCCCCCACTCCTCCCCATCGCACCCCCAGCAATCATGAGCAACATACACACACACTGCTTCCACATGAGAAGGAGTAGGACAGATGCAGCGAGTGCTTTTTGAGAATTCTCAAAAAACACTGGCTACCCAACAGTTCCTGGAAATCGGGAATACGGGGGAGGAGGGAGGTAAGGGAGGAAAGCAAGGGACGTACGGAAAGGGAAGGGGGCTAGCATGAAAACGACGTTTTTCACTGTCAATAAACCCTTTCTGTTATGGCGAGCAGCACATTCACAGCTTCTACGTGAGAGGGAGGGGGGATGCTGCGAGGGAAGGATCGCTCGGACCCTTTTGCGAGGGAAGGATCGCTCGCACCCTTTTGCGAGGGAAGGATCGCTCGCACCCTTTTTGGAACCATTCACACACCTGCACACATGCATCCATCACCTGCACACATGCATCCATCACCTGCACACATGCATCCATCACCTGCATACAGACATGCAATCACTCACCTGCATACAGACATGCAATCACTCACCTGCATACAGACATGCAATCACTCACCTGCATATAGACATGCAATCACTCACCTGCATACAGACATGCAATCACTCACCTGCATACAGACATGCAATCACTCACCTGCATACAGACATGCAATCACTCACCTGCACACAGACATGCAATCACTCACCTGCATACAGACATGCAATCACTCACCTGCATACAGACATGCAATCACTCACCTGCATACAGACATGCAATCACTCACCTGCATACAGGCATGCAATCACTCACCTGCATACAGACATGCAATCACTCACCTGCATACAGACATGCAATCACTCACCTGCATACAGACATGCAATCACTCACCTGCATACAGACATGCAATCACTCACCTGCATACAGACATGCAATCACTCACCTGCATACAGACATGCAATCACTCACCTGCATACAGACATGCAATCACTCACCTGCATACAGACATGCAATCACTCACCTGCATACAGGCATGCAATCACTCACCTGCATACAGACATGCAATCACTCACCTGCATACAGACATGCAATCACTCACCTGCATACAGACATGCAATCACTCACCTGCATACAGACATGCAATCACTCACCTGCACACAGACATGCAATCACTCACCTGCATACAGACATGCAATCACTCACCTGCATACAGACATGCAATCACTCACCTGCATACAGACATGCAATCACTCACCTGCATACAGACATGCAATCACTCACCTGCATACAGACATGCAATCACTCACCTGCATACAGACATGCAATCACTCACCTGCATACAGACATGCAATCACTCACCTGCATACAGACATGCAATCACTCACCTGCATACAGACATGCAATCACTCACCTGCATACAGACATGCAATCACTCACCTGCATACAGACATGCAATCACTCACCTGCATACAGACATGCAATCACTCACCTGCATACAGACATGCAATCACTCACCTGCATACAGACATGCAATCACTCACCTGCACACAGACATGCAATCACTCACCTGCATACAGACATGCAATCACTCACCTGCATACAGACATGCAATCACTCACCTGCACACAGACATGCAATCACTCACCTGCATACAGACATGCAATCACTCACCTGCATACAGACATGCAATCACTCACCTGCATACAGACATGCAATCACTCACCTGCATACAGACATGCAATCACTCACCTGCATACAGACATGCAATCACTCACCTGCACACAGACATGCAATCACTCACCTGCATACAGACATGCAATCACTCACCTGCATACAGACATGCAATCACTCACCTGCATACAGACATGCAATCACTCACCTGCATACAGACATGCAATCACTCACCTGCATACAGACATGCAATCACTCACCTGCATACAGACATGCAATCACTCACCTGCATACAGACATGCAATCACTCACCTGCATACAGACATGCAATCACTCACCTGCATACAGACATGCAATCACTCACCTGCATACAGACATGCAATCACTCACCTGCATACAGACATGCAATCACTCACCTGCATACAGACATGCAATCACTCACCTGCATACAGACATGCAATCACTCACCTGCATACAGACATGCAATCACTCACCTGCACACAGCCATGCAATCACTCACCTGCATACAGACATGCAATCACTCACCTGCATACAGACATGCAATCACTCACCTGCATACAGACATGCAATCACTCACCTGCATACAGACATGCAATCACTCACCTGCACACAGACATGCAATCACTCACCTGCATACAGACATGCAATCACTCACCTGCATACAGACATGCAATCACTCACCTGCATACAGACATGCAATCACTCACCTGCATACAGACATGCAATCACTCACCTGCATACAGACATGCAATCACTCACCTGCATACAGACATGCAATCACTCACCTGCATACAGACATGCAATCACTCACCTGCACACAGACATGCAATCACTCACCTGCATACAGACATGCAATCACTCACCTGCATACAGACATGCAATCACTCACCTGCATACAGACATGCAATCACTCACCTGCATACAGACATGCAATCACTCACCTGCATACAGACATGCAATCACTCACCTGCATACAGACATGCAATCACTCACCTGCATACAGACATGCAATCACTCACCTGCATACAGACATGCAATCACTCACCTGCATACAGACATGCAATCACTCACCTGCATACAGACATGCAATCACTCACCTGCATACAGACATGCAATCACTCACCTGCATACAGACATGCAATCACTCACCTGCATACAGACATGCAATCACTCACCTGCATACAGACATGCAATCACTCACCTGCACACAGACATGCAATCACTCACCTGCATACAGACATGCAATCATTCACCTGCATACAGACATGCAATCACTCACCTGCATACAGACATGCAATCACTCACCTGCATACAGACATGCAATCACTCACCTGCATACAGACATGCAATCACTCACCTGCATACAGACATGCAATCACTCACCTGCACAACAGCGCTCATAGAACCGAACCACTCCCCTGCACACAAGCATGAAGCACTGGTTTATGAATCATTCTCTGAAGAAACAGCTCTCGAATCAATCGAATGATGCCAATCTGATTCTGAAGCGTCACCTGCACAGATTGATGCTTCATCAAACCACTCACCTGCATACAAGCATCATCAAACCACTCGCATACAAGCATCCACCTCACCTGCACACATGCGTGAACCACCGGCTCGGGAATCATTCTCTGAAGGAACAACTCTCCAATCAGCCGAATGGTGCCCACTGTCCGTGCCTTGGCCCTGCGCTGCTCCTTCTCCTCCTCTCTTGTCCCTTTTTCCTCCTCTCTCCCCTTCTCCCTTTCTTGCTCCCCCTCCCTCTTCTCCCTGTCATCATCCTCGTTTGGACCTTTCTCCCCCTCTATCCCACCCTCCTCATCCCCCTCCCCCGTTCCCTCATCTTCGCCCCCTTCTCCTCTCTCTACATGCAAGGAACCTTGCACTTCCTTTGTGCAATTCTCTCCCTTTCCCTTTCTCTTTCTCCCTCCCCTTATCCTTCCCCTCTTTTTTGCTCCTTTCCCTTCTCCCTCCCCTTCTCCCCTCTCCTCTACTCCTCCCCCTTCTCCCCCCTCCCGTTCTCTCCCGTCAACTTCCCCCCCCCTCCTCCTCTCCCCTCTCCTCTCCTCCCTCCTCCCCTCCTCCCCCTTCCCGCTCTCTCTCCTCAACTTTTCCCCCCTCCTCCTCCTCCCCCCCCTCCTCCTCTCCCCTCTCCTCTCCCCCCTCCTCCTCCCCCCCCCTCCTCCTCTCCCCTCTCCTCTCCCCCCTCCTCCTCTCCTCCCTCGTCTCCTTTCGTGCTTCCTTCCTGCAATGATTCCAGCAGCTCGCCAGCCTGCCACGGGGCAAAACGAGGAAGAGAGAGAGAGAGCAGCAGGCTCGGAGGAGGAAAGGTATTGGAATCCCTGTCCTTCTTTGCTCTCCTCCCTCGTCCCCTGCTGTGCTTCCTTCCAGCAAGGCCGCCAGCTGGCAAGGCCGAGGGGGAGGGGGGAGGGGGGAGGGGGAGGGAGAGATGAGGTAATTACCTCCCCCTTCTCTCACTGAGCCTGAGGTGATTACCTGCAGTCTCACTCAGCCTGAGGTGATTACCTGCAGTCTCACTCAGCCTGAGGTGATTACCTGCAGTCTCACTCAGCCTGAGGTGATTACCTGCAGTCTCACTCAGCCTGAGGTGATTACCTGCAGTCTCACTCAGCCTGAGGTGATTACCTGCAGTCTCACTCAGCCTGAGGTGATTACCTGCAGTCTCACTCAGCCTGAGGTGATTACCTGCAGTCTCACTCAGCCTGAGGTGATTACCTGCAGTCTCACTCAGCCTGAGGTGATTACCTGCAGTCTCACTCAGCCTAGCCGCGCGTTTAAACTCCTCCTTCTCTTCTCACACATGCCCAGCAACACACAACACAGGTGACTCCTTTCTGAAAAAAGAAGAGTTTTGGGACGTCTCAAAACTCAAAAGTCTCACTCAGCCTAGCCGCGCGTTTAAACTCCTCCTCCTCTTCTCACACGTGCCCAGCAACACAAAGGTGACTCCTTTCTGCAGTTTAGAATCCTCCTTTCCTCAAGCCACTATCTGCATTCCGCAACCATTTGCCACCACACCCCACCCCATCCCACCACACCCCACCGCACCCCACCGCACCCCACCACACCTCAACCACCCCATCCCACCGCACTGCACCCCACCTGGATTCTCAGCTTAACAGCGCGTTCAAACTCCTCCTGGCATGTGTTGAGAAGAACAGAGCGGAAGGAGATCGGCTCGTTCCCTCCTGCCCCTGCGCCCCCTTCCCCTGCGCCCCCTTCCTCTGCGCCCCCTTCCCCTGCGCCCCCCTCCCCCCTGCCTGCCCCATTGGATGGCGGAAACTCGGGCAGCGCTCGCGAAAGTTTTTCGCAAAGGGCAGCATACATCGGGCAGAAGGTGGGTTCGTCTACTGCCTTGGTGAAAATTAAATTAATCACTCCCTGAGAGAGGGCGGGCGGAGATTAAGAGGGGGTGAGGTGACGGGAGGGAGAAGGTGGGTGAGAGGGGAGCGGGGGAAGAGGGGAGCGGGGGAAGAGGGGAGCGAGGGAAGAGGGGAGGGGGGAAAGATGGGAGGGGGAGAAGGGGGGTTTAGTTGATGTGAAGTGTACATTCAGCTGAAAGAAGAGGGAAGAGGCGAATGGTTTGGATTCTAGAAGGTGGGTTCGTCTACTGCCTTAGTGAAAGTGAACGATATTAATGCAATTGTGAAGGGGGTAAGGATGGGGGAGGGGGGAGGGGGTGGGGATGGGGGGATAAAAAATGCATTGTGAAGCAATAATTCAAAACAGTTTGTTTAAGAACGGCGATTACTGAGCAGACATGCACTTCGTCTGTTAAATTCACCTGAAATGAATGAAACTTGCCTGCTCTGTTATAATCACCTGGAGGATCTCAGGTGTGTTGATGCCAGTTGTCAGGAGCTGCTGAAAAAGCGGATCGAACGTCTCAGGTGTGAGCTTGTTCAGAATGCTGCGGAGGACAAGGGTGAAGGTGGAAGGGGGAAGGGGGGAGAGGGAAGGGAAAGAAGGGATTGCGGAGGAGAAGGAAAGAGGGCAGGGGGGATGAGACGTCTCAAAGCCTGAAGATGGGATCGAACATTCCAGTGTGAGAGGGACAGGAATGTTCGAATCCGCTGGGGCGAACGGGAAGGGGGACGGGGGAAGGGTTAATGTGCCTTGTCACATCTCATTAAACTCGCCCCAGTCTATAACGGGTACAATCCAGCGGCCGTACGTACTCTTGCACTGTTCGCAGCACTTTCTGCTTCTCATCCACCACGCTTCCACGTGGCACCCGCGGATTGGCTGCCTCGACAATCGTGGTAGGATCCATGGTCAGGATTCGTACTTGCTGTGACGACGGCTTCTGGAATCGCAGGGATGCTACGATACTATTGTCCGTTGATTTCCTCCAAATTGCTTTGGCTATTATCAGCCGTCGATCTTCCCTCGAATTGCATCGGGTGGAGCTTCAGAAGAGCTATATATTCACGTGAGGATGCATTTCAGAACCAGAACCGATTTTCTAAGAATTTTCGTTTCTCTGTCGAACTAATAAGAGAACCGGCAATCGCGGAAACTAAATGATAACATTGGGGAATGGCAAACGACAGTAAAATCGACGAGGAGTTTACAAGAGTAGCAATGCGGCTCGCATTAGAAACTCTGCTGGCATTCTAAGAGGTAATTTGATGAATTCTATCTTGATATTTCTGGTCATATCTCGCCAGAATGGGCGAAATTATGACCGAACTTTTGGTTACCACTTGTTGTGCGTGTACTTTCGCAAATATTGAAAATTCACGTCTGTCCCAAGCATTCATCAGCTCGAGATGCGGTCGCGATCGTGTTCACGACGGGTAACATGTCGCAACAGAATGCAAACTTGGAGTTGAGGGTAACCAACCTGATAAGGCCAGTTGGGTTCACTTAGATTTTATGTCAGAAATCACCCTGGTTTACAGAATCAATGGCGGCTTTTCTACTGGGCACTTGGTTTGATGAAATAGCCATACAGTAGCACCTTGTTGTGGGCGTAAAGCTGTTCTCGACCCTCTGTCCTGAGAATAAGGACGTTCACATATCTTTTACTCGGCTTAAAAAGCCGTTCTCGGGCTTCTATCGTTCTCAGAGAATAAGGACTTTCGTATCAAACAAGGAGGACAAGGAAGTTCGTAGCGAGTCAAGCGTAGCCACTCGTGTAACGCGTATGCACACACACGAGGCACCCAGCGCACAAGGCGCTGCTCGTCGGGGGCGCGGTTGATTGCGCATACTCCTTCTCAAACGCGGAATTGCTGTCTCTTCACAAAGAGTTCCGTTACGACGAAGACCTAGTCGCATGGCGGCAACGGCAGCGGCGGCGACAGGCCCGCGCGCGGGGTTCCCGTCGCAGGAGCTGCTGGACGACCTGTGCAGGTAGGCTGGCCTGGCGACCCGTGCGACCCGTGCGACATTTGCGAGCATTGCGACGTTTCAAGTCGCATACTTACCCTCGGTTAGGCCTGCTTTTCTTCCCAGGAGCTGCTGGACGACCTCTGCAGATACGCGCGCCCTGCGACCCGCTTCGAGCTCAACATGCCCGGGGAGGCGAGGACCTACAAATATGCCTTCCTCCCTCCCCTGTTCCACACACACCCCCTCCCCTCCCTCCCACTCCCTCCCCCTCCCTCCCCCTCCTTCCCCGTCCCCGCCCGCCCACCAGTCGCTTTGTCTTCAAGAGCCCGGGGAGGACCTTTGAGGCGCCTCCAGCAACGTCTTGACTCCCACCGCGCCCCTACCCCCCCCCCTGCTCCCCTCTTCTGACCGCTCCTCCAACATGCAGCGCCCTGTGAGGCTCCTCAAAAGCCATCCCTCCTCCGCCCTCCCCTTCCCCCCCTGCCTCGCACCAGTCGCTTTGTCTTCAACGTACCAGGGGAGGACCTGCAGTCGTTTGAGCGCATGCTCTTTTCCATCGAACAGGTGCCGCGCCGCTCTGCACTGTTTAGCACCGCTTGGTACCGTTTAGTTTTCTGCGGTATTGCTTTCTTCCAACGTTCAAACTCATGCTTTTCTCCATCAATGCAGTGCTTAGTAGAGGGCTTGCTACCGCTCAGCACCGCTTAGCACCCTATTGCACCGCTTAGTATCGTCTACCAGTGCTGACTTGCCAGTGCTGACGTGGCATGGCGTGCTGCGTGCTGACGTGGCAGGCGCATTGGTTCTACGAGGACAAGTGTCGCGAGCGGCACACGCCACCTCTTCGCTCGTTCACTCTCCGAGACTTCACCAACCTCTGTGCGTGAACCTTCTTATCATGTAATATCGTGTTTCACTCTGTTCCCCCTCTCGCCACCGTCACCTCTCGGCTCGTTCACTCTCCGAGACTTCACCAACCTCTGTGCGTGAACCTTCTTATCATGTAATATCGTGTTTCACTCTGTTCCCCCTCTCGCCACCGTCACCTCTCCGCTCGTTCACTCTCCGAGACTTCACCAACCTCTGTGCGTGAACCTTCTTATCATGTAATATCGTATTTCACTCTGTTCCCCCTCTCGCCACCGTCACCTCTCCGCTCGTTCACTCTCCGAGACTTCACCAACCTCTATACGTGAACCTTCTTATCATGTAATATCGTGTTTCACTCGGTTCCCCCTCTCGCCACCATCACCTCTCCGCTCGTTCACTCTCCGAGACTTCACCAACCTCTGTGCGTGAACCTTCTTATCATGTAATATCGTGTTTCACTCTGTTCCCCCTCTCGCCACCATCACCTCTCCGCTCTTTCACTCTCCGAGACTTCACCAACCTCTGTGCGTGAACCTTCTTATCATGTAATATCGTGTTTCACTCTGTTCCCCCTCTCGCCACCGTCACCTCTCCGCTCATTCACTCTCCGAGACTTCACCAACCTCCGTGCCTGAGCCTTGCTTCACTCTCTCCTCCTCCCTCCACCTCTGCCCTTGCTTTCCGATTCCCCTTCTTCCACCCTCTCATTCACTCTCCGACTTCACCAGCTACAAGTTCAATACAAAATGCCTGGCTGTCACGGGAGCCAACCCATCCCCCTCTTTTCCTCCCATCTCTCTCCGTCCACCACGTTTCTCAAACCCTACTGTCCATCTCTCCCACTGTCGGTGTTCCAGTCCAGCGCTGTGTGGCACTGTCACTGTTCCGTACGCTGCGAGAGTCAACGACATATACAACGAGTTCACAAGCTACAAGTTCAAAGTGCCTGTCACACCTGTCGCCCCTGCCCCCCCTGTCCCCCCTGCCCCCCCTGTCCCCCCTGCCCCCCCTGCCCCCCCTGTCGCCCCTGCCCCCCCTGCCCCCCCTGCCCCCCCTGCCCCCTCTGCCCCCCCTGTCCCCCCTGTCGCCCCTGGACCCCCTGTCCACCCTCCCACCCTGTCCCCCCTCTCTGCCCCACCATCAGTGTTCCAGCGCTGTGTGGCTCTTAAACCATACGCGGCACGAGTCAACGACATATACAACGAGTTTACGAGCTACAAGTTCAAAGTGCCGGTCACGGGGGCGATCATCCTTGACCATTCAATGACCCGGGTATGCACGCACTATGCACTGCACGCACTATGCGTGATGGACGGTTCTCTTGTTCCTTCTTTCGCATCACGTGGGTATGTTCCAAACGTCCGTCTCCAAGTTCAAAGTGCCGGTCACGGGGGCGATTATCCTCGACCATTCAATGACCCGGGTATGTATACGTAAACATTTTCTAACTCTAAATCGGTGGCTGTGTCTTCTCCTATCCTCCCCGCACCTTATCAATCCCTGCGCTAATCATCCTCTCATTATCCTCTCATTATCCTCTCATTATCTCATCATCCTCTCATTATCCTCTCATTATCCTCTCATTATCTCATCATCCTCTCATTATCCTCTCATCATTTCCTTGTGGTTAGAATGTTTCCTACATCACCCTGATCATGTCAGCTTAGCCACCTTGCTTGATATGTTAGTGTTCCGCTTTTTCTGCCGCCACCTCCCCTCTCTCCACCCCTGCCCTGCCGTGCTGCTACAGTGCATACTCGTTAAAGGGTGGCGAACCTCTGCGAGTTGGGGCTTTCCCAAGGGCAAGAAGGGGCTCAAGGAGACGGATGCCGAGGCAGCGGTCAGGGAGGTGGGTGGATGGTTGGGTAGAGGGGGATGTGGGTGGTTAGGTTGGTGCGGGTTGTGTCTGCTGGTCCAGAGGATGAAGGGGAAAGAAGGAGCTAAAGGAGACGGATGCCGAGGCAGCGGTCAGGGAGGTGGGTGGCTGGCTGGTGAGGGGAGGGTGGGTGTGCGTTGCTTGAGTGGTTAGAGTGACGTTAAGAAAAGATGCGGGTCAAACAGACGGATGCCGAGGCAGCGGTCAGGGAGGCGGGTGGATGGTGAGGGGAGGTGGGTGGATGGTGAGGGGAGGTGGGTGGATGGTGAGGGGAGGTGGATGGATGGTGAGGGGAGGGCGTGTGTGCGTCTTGAGAGGTCTAAGGGCAAGAAGGGGCTCAAACAGACGGACGCAGAGGCAGCGGTTAGGGAGGTGGACGGGGGAAAGAAGGGGCTCAAACAGACGGACGCAGAGGCAGCGGTTAGGGAGGTGGACGGGGGAAAGAAGGGGCTCAAGGAAACAGATGCAGAGGCAATGGTTCGGGAGGCGGGTGGTTGGAGGGCGGTGGGTGGTTGGAGGGAGATGGGTGGTTGGATGGAGGTGGGTGGTTGGAGGGAGGCGGGTGTTTGGAGGGAGGTGGGTGTTTGGAGGGAGGCGGGTGTTTGGAGGGAGGCGGGTGTTTGGAGGGAGGTGGGTGGTTGGATGGAGGTGGGTGGCTAGAGGGAGGTGAGTGGTCAAGGGGAGATGGGTGGTTGGGAGGAGGTGAGTGGTTTGGTTGGTGCAAGTTGTACACGTTGATTGAGGGCAAAAGGGCCAGAAGGAGCTCATACAGACGGATGCAGAGACGACTTTCTAGTCGACTCAAAAGTCACCAAATTGTATGAGTTGTTTGAGGGCAAAAGGGCCAGAAGGAGCTCATACAGACGGATGCAGAGGCAGCAGAGGAGAGCACTCAGGAAGGTGGGGTGGCAGGGCAGCCCCAGTAGAAGCAGCAGCAGCAGCAGCAGCAGCAGCATCGTTGAGAATTGCTCGATTCTTTTTGCTTTTCTCATTCTCTGCTGCTCCCCTCTCTGGTCAACCAATCCGCTTGTCTTCCTGCCTGCAAGCAATCGCAGGTGTGGGAGGAGACAGGCTTCGACATTCCCCCTCTGGTCAACCCCTCAGAGTATCTGGAGGTGGTGGCTGGCAGGGTAGCAGCAGCAGCAGTGGGAGCAGCAGCAGCAGTGGGAGCAGCAGCAGCAGTGCGAGCAGCAGCAGCAGTGCGAGCAGCAGCAGCAGTGCGAGCAGCAGCAGCAGTGCGAGCATGCATTGCCCACGTTCCTTCATATTCTCTTTCATCCTCTTTGCTCCCCTGTGGACCATACCTCCTCCTCTACCCATGACAGGTGTTGGAGGAGACAGGCTTTGACATCTCCGCTCTGGTCAACCCCTCAGAATATCTGGAGGTGCAGGGCAGCAGCAGCAGGAGCAGCAGTGGGAGCATCGAGCCTCAGTATTATTCTCCCTTATTCTCTCTCATCCCCTTCCCCCCAATCACAGATCTTGGAGGAGGCAGGCTTTGACATCTCCCCTCTGGTCAACCCATCAGAGTATCTGGAGGTGGTGGCTGGCAGGGCAGCAGCAGCAGCAGAAGTAATCACCCATATTTCTTTTTTTTTTTTTTTCAATTATAGGTGTGGGAGGAGACAGGGTTTGACATCTCGTCTCTGGTGAACCCCTCAGAGTATCTGGAGGTGGTGGCAGGGCAGCAGCAGCAGCGCTCACGCCTGTTTGTTGTGGCGGGGGTGGACTCGCGCACTGCAGTGTTCCAGCCACAAACCGTGAAAGAGATCAGCGTGAGTGGGGTGGTTGGGGCCGGGCATTGGTGGGATGGGAAGGGCTGTATGCAGCAAGGTAGCAGCAGCAGCAGCGCTCACGGCTGTTTGTGGCGGCGGGAGTCGACTCGCGCACTGCAGTGTTCCAACCACAGGAAATCTCTTCTTCTCTCTCAGGAAATCGCCTGAGAGAGAGAGAGAGGAGGGAGAGCTCAGACCTGCTGGAGCAAAGCTTGCATCTGTGACTTCTTTTGAGGCGCCTCAAATGGCTCTCAGGAGATCGCCTGAGATCTCCTGAGAGAGAGAGGAGGGAGAGCTCAGATATCCAGGAGGAAAGCTCGCATCTGTGACTTCGAGACAGCCATAGCCTCTGGCAGCGTTGCAATGCAACGGAGCCCTGCCAGTCTCTCGCACAGTCAGTAACTGTGCTCCAACTGCTCATTCGACCCAACTGACCTTGTCCTCCTTCACTGCTCTCTCCCCTCTCCCTCTCTCCTCCTCCCTCAGGAGATCGCACGACATCTCATTTGTGACTTGGCCACAACGCAGCAGGATCTCGCCCTGCCTGTCTCTCAAACAGTCAGTGGGATGACTCACACAACTGACCTCTTCCTCCTTCACCACTCTGTCTCTCCTCCCCTCCTCCCCTCCCCTTTCAGGAGATCGCATGGCATCTCATATGTGACTAGGTCAGCTCAGCGCGACGGATCAATTGAACCAGCTTACCTTTTCCTCCTTCACCGCTCTCTTAATCCTGCTCCCCTCCCCTCTCAGAATATCGCATGGCATCACGTCTGTGACCTGGCCACAGCGCAGTGCGATGGGATTCAATTGACCTCTATCTGCGTCACAACGCTCTCTCTCTCTCTCTCTCTCTCTCTCTCTCTCTCTCTCTCTCTCTCTCTCTCTCTCTCTCTCTCTCTCTCTCTCTCTCTCTCTCTCTCTCTCTCTCTCTCTCTCTCCTCCTATTCTCGTCCTATTCTCCTCCTATTCTCCTCCTATGGGGCCGTGGCACAGGGGATCGCATGGCATCTCATCTGTGACTTAGCCACAGCGCAGTGTGACGGAGCGCTGCCAGTCTCTCGCACAGTCAGCGGGGCCAAGCTCTTTATGGTGCAGCCGTTTGTCAGGTGAGTGAATTCGGTGAGTGAGGTGTGTGTGAGAGTTGTTGTTGGTGTGTGTGTGTGTGCTGCGTGTTGCCTGTTGTGGCCAGAGGTGTGAGTTTATACATGCTGCCGTCTCTCCTTTGCCTCGTTTGAGTCGTCTCACAAGTGGATGGTGGGAGAGCAAGTGGTTGGGTCGTCTCCCATTCCTTCCTCTAACCTACCAGGCCCCTTCTCGAGTGGATAGACCGCCACCACACGCCTGACACCCGGCAGCTAGCAGTGCACATGATGCCGCAGAACGTTCCAGGAAGCATCATCTCTGTCTGGAAGACCAGCAGCGTTCTTCCCGCCTCTCCACAAACATCCCATTCTTTCGCTCCTGCTGCTGCTGCCGTTGCTCCTCCTGCTACTACTGCTGCTGCTGCTGCTGCTGCGTCTGCTGCTCCCCCTGGTGCTGCTGGTCTCACTGCTGCACCTCCCTCTCATCATTCCACCATCCCAGCCACCACCACATCAGTCCCACACATTCCCACCGCATCCCCTTCCTCTCTCCGCCATCCAGTCTCCTCGCGCCACGTGGCGGCGGCCAGGAAGCAGCTCTTCCCCACCGATTCTCCCCCTCAGGCCACGTCAGCACCATCTGGGCTCCTGCCAGGTGGCGCCCGGGCGGGAATCCTCAGGCTGCCAGCTGGCACTCTCCCACGGCAAAGCTTACATCAGCAACAACAGCAGCAGAGACCATCAACGTTATCGGCACCACAACCAGCAGCAACAGCAGCAGAACCACCAACATCATTAGCGGCAGCAGCTGCAGCGGCGGCGGTTCCTCTGCTTCCTCCTTGCTCAGAATGGATAAATTTCAAATTTGATAGCGCCGCCATTGTGCGTGCCATGCAGGCTGCGTGAATGACTGCTGCGTGACTGTCTGCTAGCTTTAACTTCATTGCTCGGCGGCGGTTCCTCTGCTTCCTCCGTGCTCCGAGTGGGTCAACTTCAAGTTTGATCGCGACGCCATTCTGCTTGCCATGCAGGCTGCATGACTGAATGCTACGTCTGTGACCTGTTAGCCCCACTGCTCCCAATCCCCATACTCTCCGCGAATCAGCATCAGCAACCATTCTGCGTGCCATGCAGGCTGCGTGACTGCTGCAGTTCTTCAAGCAGCTGCAAGAAGTGCACTTCTTGCTGCTGCTTACTTGAAAGCAGATTCCCTAGCTGCCTTTTGACCGTAGCTGCTACCAAATTCAGGTTTTTTTTTTTTTTTTTTTTTTTTTTTTCTCAGTATGTAGAGTTCTAGTAGAACTTTATGGTGCTACTCAAAACTTTATTGAGATGCCATGTTGAAAACCACTGAATCATCCGATTCATTTTCCATTAATGCATGATACAAACATACACACTCCAAAGGTAAGCTCTTGTAAGGAACAACACACGGAAAAGGCATCACAGCACAACCTATCAGTACCCCAGGATGCAGAAGCAGCCCTCATCCCATGCACACAGATACCGCGATTAGCAGGTACAGGAACACATTCCTTTAGGGACTACTCATGGCATCACAGCACAACATAGGTATCTGTACCCCAGGGTGCAGCAGCAGCCCTCCCTCACCCACCAAATGCACAGACACAGCACTACCCAGGTAACACATAAGTAAGCAACTAGGCACGGAAACATAGGTAACCTTACTCCAGGGGTGCAGCAGCAGCCCTCCCTCGTCCACCCCATACACACAGACACAGCAGTACCCATTCTACGGTGTAACATTAGAAGTAAGCTAGGGAGTGTGCCAGTGTGACTCTAACAGGCGTGTCCCCCACCTGTAATGTGACTATAGGAAACGGGCTCACAGCAAACCCCTCTATAATCACACGCTGGTCGCTCTTTGAGAGACTTTCCTGGCAGCGGTACAGTAAGCTTCCTTCCACATAAGGATAAGGTTCGGATTCATAGTGACTGCATGGGACTGTGACCGTATGGGAGTCGGTCAAGGAGATGGTGGGAGAGGAAGGGGTGGTAGCCGAAGTTACCCCTTCGATTTGGGCTACAAAATCCATGTGGCTTATGGTGTTGCGGTGGGTTGGGTGCCTGAAAATAAAGGGTTTGAAAAAAAGCAGGGGAGAAGGGATGGGGAAAAGGAAGGGGAAAGAAAGCGAGAAACGAGGAGAGAGGAGAACGAGAGAAGAGAGAGGAGAAGAGAGAGAAAAGAGCTTATTCTAAGTGATGACATCACAAGGTAAGTTTGCGAGCATGGGGTGGGGTGGGGATGCGGTGGGGTGCGGTGGGGTGGGGAGGGGTGGGGTGGGGTGGGTGGCAGGTACAGAAGAGTACACAGCCACTCACTCATCAATGCGACGAGTTTTGAGGCGCGTCGTAACTCGTCTCGCATATTCGTCATACATGGACGGACGAGAACGACGGTCCCGATGTCACTTATGAGTCGATGCAAAAGTCCCACTTATTCGTCTCATCAAGTCGTCTCGTCCCATTATTTGTCAGTCATGGACGGAGGAGAAGGGTTGCGATGTCAAACCACGGACGATACGACGAGTACGGCAGATATGATATGACACATGTGATACGGAAGATATTGCATGATAGTTACTGTAGATACGAGGCTTCTTTTGGGACGTCTAAAAATAGGGGGCGCTGGCAGGTAAAGGAGACGAGGGGAGGGGAGGGGAGGAGAAGGGAGGGGAGGGGAGGGGAGGGGAGGTTTAAAAGCACTCACCGGTGCACCTTCAAACAGACGTCGACCGATGAGAAGGGGTCTGATGGCGCGCCGAGAATGACCTCGCAATACGAGCCTGGTGGTGGCATGGAGAAGAGTGGAGAGAGGGAGAGAAGTGTAGAAGGAGTGTGAAGGAGTGTGAAGGAGTGTGAAGGTATGCGGCTTGAGCCGGGCTGATGGCGAGCCGAGGATCACCTCGCAATCTGAGCCTGATAGTGGTGGTCAGGAGAAGAGTACGGTTGAAAGGAGTGGAAAGAGTGCAAGGAGTAAGAGTGCAAAGGAAACAGGAAAGAGAGTGGAAAGAGTGTAATAATGAATAGAGTGAAGGCTAGACCGCATGACCAAGCGTGAGGGGACTAGCCCTTGGGATTTCAAAGGGAAGCAAACTCATGAAGGTGGTTGAGGGGGAAAGCCATGAGATAGAGCAGGGAGTAAAAGGGCACGACTCTAAGCGAGACGAGAGTAAGTGCCTCACGTAAGCAACGTGAGAGTGAAAGCTGGGAGAGAGGAAGCAGCGAAGAGGATGGAGAAATGGGAATGGGGATTGAGTGAGAGAGTGGGACGAGAATAGAGACTGAGGCGAAAAGGGGCGGGAAGAAAAGGTTTACGAGAAGAGCAGAGTTGGGAAAATCAAGCAGGAAACAGGCCTTCCTTACAGACAGGGAACAGGGAACAGGGAACAGGGAACAGGGAACAGGGAACAGGGAACAGGGAACAGGGAACAGGGAAAAGGCTGATTGTGCGTTGAAAAAGGCTCGAGTTCTCTTGGTGTCGGAAAGGCCTTTGGGAACTCACCGATGACGTCATCGCCGGCAATATAGACGTTGTCGGGAAGAGGATTCCGCGCAAGAGCGACCGGGAGGAGAGCAGCGAGGAGAACTGCACGTGAGCAGCGAGACGTAAGGGAAGGTATCACGGAAATTGAACGGGCTCAAATTGAAGCGCCGTTTTGAAGCGCACAGAAGCTGGAAAACAAGGAAATGAAATAGAAGAAAAACAGCTAGCACCTTATTTTTTGTTTGGGAAATCTCACTGGATTTTTCAGTGGGGATTGACGGAGGGGATGCTGCGAAAGGAGAACGTACGAGCAAAGATGAAAACAACGGAATGTTGACGGCGCGCAGCAGCAGCCATTTTTCTCGAGGCGCTCGAAGGCCCACGGAGCCGTGACGGGTGGTACTGGAGCGCTCTCCTTTAGCTAAGCTGCGCCTCTATCGAGTCGACTCAAAAACTTCGATTTACACACGACCCTCACGTAAGTCGCGATGCGTGGTGCGAGCCTACTTGACCAGAAGCTGCGCGGCAGATTGTCACGTTAGCGGTTAGCGGGCCGGCAATGGCGGTCGATTGAGTCACCTTAGTCAGCTATAAATTCCTTCTTAGCTGGTTCTACCGGGAAAAAAAAAAACACAGATCCGACCGAAAGAAGAGTCTTTCCGCTTCCTCCTCGATTTTAAGGGGGGCAACGAGGCGACTTTAGAATCGACTCGAAAAAAGTATGCGCGCAATGTGTAGTATTTATGGCGGCGTCGGTCCGACCCAAAAAAGGACTTCGTCCTAAATCCAACGTTGAGAAACCGCCGCCTCAAATCGTGGCTGAAGCGACGAGGGCGGTCGCGCGGAGCAGGAGAACATTCGCTGGAGATTGATGGCGACGGCCGACTGCTGCTGCTGAGGTGAGCAGAGGAGCGAGAGAAAGAGGCGGGGCAAAATCGCGGGTCCAAATCGCGGGTCCAAGCACGCGCATGGAGAGGAGAGAGGCTATGGCCGCATGTACTGGATCTTGCCAGAGTTCGGAAATGCGGAGAGCACTCGTCCTCCTCCACACACTCGAGGAAACTCGAACGAGGCGCAGAGGGTTTCAGGAGAGAGACCGTGGAAATTTAGGCTGAACTGACCTCTCTGTTATCGGCACCACAGCAATCGTGCTTCTCACACTCTCTGCCAGTTTCGAAAGTGCACGACCGGCAACCGCACGAGAGCAGAAACCCACCAAAGCTGGCAGAGATTCTCACGAAGCAAGTGAGCTGTGGTGGGCAGGCACGTATGGGAGTGGCATGGTGGAGGCTACCTGGTCGGTGCGTCGAACAAGACACAAACTGGTCAACATTTTCCAAAGAACAGTACAACGAGCGTGGGTCCCAAACCTTAGTCTGTATGCGGCTTGACAGGCTGGGTAGATTGCGAACCAAGAAGGTGTGCTTTTAGGGTGTTCATTCTTATCCTGGGCAGGCATTTCTCAATGAAGTCAGGGGTTCTGGTGGGTTGGGTGGAGTGATAAACGTTCTGAGGTACACTTAGACAGCGGTTTGGGAAACTCGGCAGCATACACGGGCAGGTATGGACCAATGGTTGAGGTTCGAGAATGGAGGGAATCCGGTATGGGGGTTTACTTTTGGCGCGGAAAGAGGTGGGTGGCTAAACGGCGTCCGGGGGGTACTGTACAGCGGTGGCCGTGAAAATGTGAAGCAGCGTGAACGCCGGCAACGCAAGCAGTGCAGCACAGCACCACCACCACTGTAGGCAGGGGGAAGGAGTTCCGCACACGAAAGTATCAGGCACCTGAACAGTGAAGTTCGCGAAGCACTAGCACCGTCGTGGTCTCCAAATGTTCGCACAGTTCCCGTTGCTTTCCTCACTTGTCTCCGATAGTGCAATGTACACCTAATGCCCGACCAGTGCACGCGAATTTGCCATGCACCGGATGGAAATGCTGCACTCGAGCTCACGCACCCTGCTTGCTGCTCCCACAGTACAAGCACCTGGATGGCTGGCTACAGTACACGCGCTGCGGCCACCAACGCACGCACGTGCAGTCCCGAACAAGGCAGGGCGACCCTGGTTTGCCTTGTTTCTAGGCCAGAAGTCAGGCAGGCGAAATATAAGGACGAAACGTGAGTGGTTTCATGAACGCATTCGCCCGACTGCCACGCCACCAAAGCGAGGTTCATCGTGCGTGTATTAGACATTTGGGCAGATTCACACTGCCACGTGTAGTCTGCACCTGTGGGGTACAAGCGCATTATCAGCCAGGCATTGTTCGCTGACCCCACGTCAGACATTCCATCGTCTGGTTACCAAGCCACACAAGCGGAGATTCAAGACAGGTGCATTGAACTAACAACGGCCACACGATTAGGACGAGCCACACAGAACAGGCCCCACGAGTGACACAGCACGCCCGCCATCCGAACTTAAAATCAGACCAACGAATTCACAAGAGCATCGTTCTCACACACCCTCGCCTCTCACAATGCCCCGTTTCCATCGTCGTGACTAGCAAAATTTGCGGTAAATTAGTCAGACAGAACCACATCCTGATTCCTGATTCCCCTAGGCGAAGCATCGGTCATACCCTCTGTCATCCTCACAGCTCTCAAGAGTTCACAGGATGTTGGTTCATAGCTACTAA